AATACGCATGCATACTACAAAAGAAAAAAGGCCATTGGCAGAACATGAGACTATAGCTTCAACGCTAGTTCTGTCATTCAACGAATTGGAAATCTCTTAGAAAAGGGTTAGCATGACTTGTGTTCAATAGTCATGTTTAATCTCTTTGAAACAACACGTTATCTTTCTGTGCAAATGAAACAATCTACCACCTGAAGTTGTATCTGCATTTCTACGCTATGGCTTCAGCAAGTACACCTTTAAACATGATCTTTGGGTTTTCTGTCACATAAAAATAGATAAAATGTAGCAATAAAAATATCACTCTCATACATTTAAATCTATAGAATGGGAAAAGCTCAGTGCAAAAATGTTACACAAGGCAATGTTAAATGTGTTCCATGTCCACAGTGTTACTGTCACAGGCTGCTGTCAATCGTTACATCATTTTGACCTTTAAACTTTCAACCATCTTTGGGGTCGTTGATGTAGCGACGAGTGGTTCATGGGAGCGCTACTGTACGTAAGTCAATCAGAACAGACTTTGGAGGAAGTAAACCATCCACAGTAAACCACTGGCTGTAGCCTCCCTACGGTGTCCCAAGGTTCATAACGTACAAATACTTCAACACCAGCTGCATTACAAGTCAGTACAAAACATGTAATAAAGAGTATTCATGGATATAGATATATAGTAGTAGATAAACAAGTTAAAAATAAACTTCCTCTTTAATGGTCTAGGTTGTCCCAGCCCTCTCAGAGACCCCTATGTGGTGTGAGAGTTCTGCATATCCGTATCCAGAGGCAGGGAGAAACCACAGTTGGCCTGCGGTTCTGTCCATTTGCGTCCAAAAGACAGTGGCGGGGGAGTTGCATCCACTCTGATTGTGTCATTGTGACATGAATATATATATATATATAAACACGATTTATCTTATTTTTCTTTTACAATTATACCAAAATGTCAGAAATTCAAACTTATACTCATATTAAGTATAATTTGACATAGTAAAATCTTATCCTGTAAACAGCTTGCCCTTTTTGTCTCTTGTTTGAAAAATACATTCAAGTCAGACTGCACTTAAAGAGAGGCATATTATATATGTGGCAAACAACTTCTGACAGAAAAATATACTAGGACTGTATATAGCAAAGACATTGAAAATAATGCTCTACGCAGAACAATAGATACAGTGCTGTGAAAAAGAATTTCCCCCTTTCTAATGTTCTCAACTTTTGCATATTTGTGATACTGAATGTTATCAGATCTTCAACCAAAACCTAATATTAGATAAAAGGAACATAAGTGAACAAATAACACAACAATTACATATTTATTTCATGAACAAAGTTATGCAACACCCAATTCCCCTGTGTGAAAAAGTAATTGCCCCCTTACACTCAATAACTGGTTGTGCCACCTTTAGCTGCAATGACTCCAGCCAAATGCTTCCTGTAGTTGTTGATCAGTCTCTCACGTCGCTGTGGAGGAATTTTGGCCCACTCTTCCATGCAGAACTGCTTTAACTCAGTGACGTGTGGGTTTTCAAGCATGACCTGCTCGTTTCAAGTCCTGCCACAACATCTCAATTGGGATTAGGTCTGGACTTTGACTAGGCCATTCCAAAACTTCCCATTTGTTGCTTTTTAGCAATTTTCATGTAGACTTGATTGTGTGTTTTGGATCATTGTCTTGCTGCATGACCCAGCTGCGCTTCAGCTTCAGCTCACAGACGGATGGTCTGACATTCTCCTGGAAGCATTTGGCTGGAGTCATTGCAGCTAAAGGTGGCACAACCAGTTATTGAGTGTAAGGGGGCAATTACTTTTTCACACAGGGGAATTGGGTGTTGCATAACTTTGTTCATGAAATAAATATGTAATTGCTGTGTTATTTGTTCACTTATGTTCCCTTTATCTAATATTAGGTTTTGGTTGAAGATCTGATAACATTCAGTATCACAAATATGCAAAAGTAGAGAAAATTAGAAAGGGGGCAAATTATTTTTCATAGCACTGTAGATCGATCCCTCTTCATTTCTACCATGATTGTTAGTTGGGGTGTACGGCCACGTAGAGGGCTGTCATTGGGCCGGGCCAGAACTGGCCTTCACCTGATCATCACAAAGAGGGGAACATGGCTGTCAGGGGATGTACTGGTGTCATTGTACTAGAACCATATCAGCACAGTGCTAACAAGGTATTAGCATTGTAGTAGAACGATACCAGTGCTGGCTCTGCCTCAAACACCAGGTCCAAATTCCTCAGTCAGTAAACTCTCCCGGTCTGCTCAGCATGGCGATGGGGCAGTTACCATGGCTTGGGTTGCCCTGGCGAGGGTGTTTCTATGGCGTTGTGTAACCAATGTGTCTTGGTGATGGGTGTTGCCATGTCTGCAGTGCTGTTTGAGCGGAGAGGTATGAACTGGAGACAGACGGAACCACCGAGCAGACACTCTCAGGGTCCAAGAACACCAGCTGCTGTTCTAAGAAACAGCATCCCCATGTTCTAGAACGTGAGCTGCTCCTGCTTGAGAATGTGTTCTGTTCTAGAACATGAAAGAACATCTTCTAGAATCTAGAATATGTGTCCTGTTCTAGAACACATTCTGGAACAGGTGGAGCCTGTGTCCTTTTCTAGAACCTAGAAAAACATGTTGTAGAATACATATTGTGTTCTAGAACATGTGCTCTACTTGCTCCAGAATACATGTCCTGTTCTAGAACATTGGCTCCAAAAGGTTCCAGAGCAAAACTCCTGTTCTTGAACAACAGTTCCTTTTCCTCTGGAACATTATCCAATTGTCTTGCTCTGACTTTGACCAGCTCTGGTCCAACATTTCTGGAGTAAATGTGGCAGTGAGGAGGACAACCAATGAAGGATCAGGATCCGAGCACTAAGCACTGTCAATGAGTACGGATTGTCCTGCAGCCACCCTCTCTGTTGAAGACATCTGCTGCCCTCTCAGTCTGTGGCAGTCAGTAAGGGCCCTCAGGCAGACAGATAGGAGCTGCTTGGCTGTGGCAGAGTCAGATGGCTGTGTGTGTGTTGGTGTGAGTCTTTGGCAGCAGTTGGGCAGAGGAAGGCTGGTGGGGGGGCCAGCGGTCTTTGAGCTGAAGGACTAGACACTGCACAGCTAATATATATACCGTATTGGTCCGAATATAAGACGGCCTTTTTTCCCCTCGAAATAGGTCCAAAAAAGTCGGGTCGTCTTATATTCGGGGTCTAGTATTCAGAGCGCAGTTTCTCTTCTTCGGCGCTCCCTTTAAATGTCAATACACATTCGCGGGCACAGATGGCGCCAAAAATTCGTTCCGGACGGAGGGAAGAGGCGTCCTTAACAACCAGCCCGTTACCGGTGTTTAAAGATGGAAAGACAGGCTGACCATTTAGAGACAAGTGGCTCAAAAGTGGGCCAGGTCAATAAACAACAGCGGAGGAGCTATGATGCCAATTTCAAAATAATGGTTGTCAATAAGGCAGAGTCATCTAACAACTGCCAAGCTGCCAAGACATTCGGGGTCACTGAGTGTAATGTAAGAAGATGGCGAGCAGAAAAACAACGTCTAAAAGATGCTAACAGTCAGCGAAAATCCTTCCGTGGTCCTCAAAGTGGTCGTTTCATTGAGGTTGACCGGAGGGTTTTTGAATATGTCAGGGAAAAAAGAAGTGAGGGAATGCCCATTACCAGAGCTGTCATCCAGGTTAAGGCCCTGGAAATCGCCAGAGAGCTCAACATCACTGGATTTAAAGCCAGCCTCGGCTGGTGTCGTAGGATGATGCGGCGTAATGGACTGTCACTTAGACGGAGAACGAGTTTGGCCCAACGCCTGCCGTCAGACTTCGGAGAGAAGCTGCTTTCGTTTCAGCGCTTTGTTATCAACCTGAGGAAGAAGCACTCCTACCCGCTGGATCAGATCGGCAATGCTGATCAGACACCCGTTTATTTCGACATGCCAACATCGGTGACTGTCAATAGAAAGGGAGACAAGTCTGTGTTGGTGAAATCAACGGGCAACGAGAAGAGCCGCGTCACTGTCATGTTGACATGTCTCGCTGGTGGCAGCAAACTCCCCCCGTATGTCATTCTTAAGCGTAAGACTGTGCCAAAGGACCCAATGCCAGCTGGCATTATTGTGCGCGCCCAGGAGAAGGGCTGGATGGAGTCGGGGCTTGTAGTGGACTGGCTAAAGGTTGTGTGGGGCGCACGCTACGGGGGACTGAGGAAGAGGAGGAACATGCTCGTTCTGGATGCGTTCCGCGGACATCTGACTGAGCCCGTGAAAAGTCAGGTGCGAGCAATGAACGGGGATCTTGTGATCATACCAGGGGGAATGACAAGCCAGCTACAGGTGTTGGACGTAGTTGTGAACAAGCCTTTCAAGGATAACCTGCGAAAAAAAATACACAGAGTGGCTCCTGTCTGGCAACCACGCACTCACACCGACCGGGAAAATACAGAAGCCGTCAGTCCGTCTACTGTGTGAATGGATCCTGCATGCATGGGATGCTATTCCCTCACAGAGCATCATCGATGGCTTTAAAAAATGTTGCATCTCAAATGCATTGGACGGCAGCGAGGACGACGTGCTTTGGGAGGAGCCGGTAGGTGGAGGAACACTATAGGAACGTTATAGTAAAGTTATAGTAATGCTCAGTGCTGATGTAATGTGGGTGAAAAAAAGGATATCAATCAATGGTACATCAGTCCATCCGTTCCAAATGACTATGCACAACGTAGGTATGAGCGTGTGTGTGTGCATTTACATGTGAAGCCCATGTAAACAGTGACTGTACACAAGTCTATTCCTCTGAAATAGTGTGTGTGTGTAAATTACTTAAAACATAGCATACGCATGCTGCTTGAGATGCATGCCATGAGTGTGTGCATGCCAGTGTGTGAGTGAGGCATATGTACGTGTGTGTGTGTGAAGGAGGTGGGGCTCATTCAAGTTTAACCAGGTTTAACCCACGGTCCCTGGCCTATACAGTCCGCGTGTGTACGTGTGCGTGCCCGTTTACAGTCTGTCGCTACGGAAACTGTCCTCCACAGAGGGGTCAGAGAGCACCATGTCAGGATCACTGAGCATGTTCAGACCATCCAGGCTCAAAGGCTCGATGCGCAGCTCGTCCTCCAGTGGGAAGCCCACCTCCGAGTCGAAACACTCAGCCATGTTGCCGGCCGACATGGCACTGCTGATGTCCTTGGAATGACTGGGGTTGGAGTCATCTATGGAGGGATGGAGAGAGGGAGAAAAAGGGAGGACAGACACCTACCAGTCAGTATGATGTTGGACACCCCTCCCCCTACCAGTCAGTATGATGTTGGACACCCTCCCCCTACCAGTCAGTATGATGTTGGACACCCCTCCACCTACCAGTCAGTATGATGTTGGACACCCCTCCACCTACCAGTCAGTATGATGTTGGGCACCCCTCCACCTACCAGTCAGTATGATGTTGGACACCCCTCCACCTACCAGTCAGTATGATGTTGGACACCCCTCCACCTACCAGTCAGTATGATGTTGGGCACCCCTCCACCTATCAGTCAGTATGATGTTGGGCACCCCTCCACCTACCAGTCAGTATGATGTTGGACACCCCTCCACCTACCAGTCAGTATGATGTTGGACACCCCTCCACCTACCAGTCAGTATGATGTTGGGCACCCCTCCACCTACCAGTCAGTATGATGTTGGACACCCCTCCACCTACCAGTCAGTATGATGTTGGGCACCCCTCCACCTACCAGTCAGTATGATGTTGGACACCCCCTCCACCTACCAGTCAGTATGATGTTGGGCACCCCTCCACCTACCAGTCAGTATGATGTTGGGCACCCCTCCACCTACCAGTCAGTATGATGTTGGACACCCCTCCACCTACCAGTCAGTATGATGTTGGACACCCCTCCACCTACCAGTCAGTATGATGTTGGACACCCCTCCACCTACCAGTCAGTATGATGTTGGACACCCCTCCACCTACCAGTCAGTATGATGTTGGACACCCCTCCACCTACCAGTCAGTATGATGTTGGACACCCCTCCACCTACCAGTCAGTATGATGTTGGACACCCCTCCACCTACCAGTCAGTATGATGTTGGGCACCCCTCCACCTACCAGTCAGTATGATGTTGGGCACCCCTCCACCTACCAGTCAGTATGATGTTGGACACCCCTCCCCCTACCAGTCAGTATGATGTTGGACACCCCTCCACCTACCAGTCAGTATGATGTTGGGCACCCCTCCATCTACCAGTCAGTATGATTTTGGACACCTCTCCACCTACCAGTCAGTATGATTTTGGACACCCCTCCCCCTACCAGTCAGTATGATGTTGGGCACCCCTCCACCTACCAGTCAGTATGATGTTGGGCACCCCTCCACCTACCAGTCAGTATGATGTTGGACACCCCTCCACCTACCAGTCAGTATGATGTTGGGCACCCCTCCACCTACCAGTCAGTATGATGTTGGACACCCCTCCACCTACCAGTCAGTATGATGTTGGGCACCCCTCCACCTACCAGTCAGTATGATGTTGGGCACCCCTCCACTGCAGTTGTAGTAGTTGTTGGGTCTCATCTGCTGCAGCTGGTCCTGCAGGTTGCCGTGACTCCCGCCCAGGCCCATGAGGGCGGCCTGCGAGCAGTATAGGGGTGAGGAGGAGGGCGAGGAGGGGTCGAAACACGAACCCCCTGCAATTTGGCTCATGGCACTCTCCAACATGCTGAACTGGTCCAACTGAAGAGGAGGCAGGAAGAGATAGAGGTGGGAGGGGAATGGAGAGAGAGAGAAAAGAGAGAGTGGTGATGGGGTGGGGGGACAAAGGTCAAACACAACTATTACAGATGACCAACCAATGACAAACAACCATCACAAATGACCAAGCAATGATCAACAACCATTCCAAATGACCAACCAATGACCAACCAATACAAACATGCATACTCTTGAGGTGACTTGGTTCACTACTCCACAACACGATATTTCATAGAACTACAAATATCTGGTCGCCACAATTACACCCCTTAAAACTTATACCCATCAATTAAGAAATTAGTTCACTCAAACAATCATTTAGTATTTTGCTCATTAGTCCACTGTTAATACAATCCCAAAATGTTGTGCTTGTCAGCAGTCAAGTTTTCAAGAAGGAGCACTTTCAGAACAGAGCAAAAACTGTGCTGATGCGATTTGTGCCATTTTTGAGTCAACTATCCCTTTAAGTCACTTTGGCAGGCCTAAACCCAACATTGAAATAAAATAAACTTCAGATACTAACTGTAAATGAAGGAATGAAGTCCTTTCCTGAGGATCCTTCTCTAGAGCCTTCTCCCCGGTGGTTTACCTGGTAGGACAGAGCCTTGGCCTGGCGACTGGAGAACTGTGGGTCCATGAACGGGTCGTTGAAGAACGCCCCCATGTTATTCTGTGGGAGGAAGAGGAGGGAGAGAGAGAAACATAGGAGAGAGATATGGGAGAGCGAAAGATGGAGCGGAGGAGGGAGAGAGACAGAAAGAGAGATAGATGAAAGAAATGGGGGAGAAAAGGATGGAGAGGAGGAGAGGAGGGAGGAGGCAGAGAGGAACAGAGGGAGGAGGTAGAGAGGAAGAGAGAGAGACAGAGAGACAGAGGAACAGAGAGAGAGAGGAAGAGGAACAGAGAGAGAGGAACAGAGAGGAAGAGAAAGAGAGACAGAGGAACAGAGAGAGAGGAGGTAGAGAGGAACAGAGAGAGAGGAACAGAGGAGGGAGGAGGTAAAGAGGAAGAGAGAGAGACAGAGGAAGAGAGACAGAGGAAGGAGAGAGACAGAAAGAGAAGAGGAACAGAGAGGAACAGAGAGAGAACAGAGAGAGGAAGAGAAAGGAAGAGGAAGAGAAAGAGGAACAGAAGAAGAGAGAGAAGAGGAAAGAGACAGAGAGGAACAGAGAGAGAGAGAGACAAGAGAGAGAAAGAGAAGAGGGACAGAGACAGAGGAAGAGAGAGAGAGAGGAAGAAAGAGAGGAACAGAGGACAAGAGAGAGAGAGAGACAGAGAGGAAGGAGAGAGAAAAGAAGAAAGAGAGAGGAACAGAAGAGACAGAGGAAAGAGAGGAGAGAGAAAGAGAGAGAGGACAGAGTAGAGGACGAGAGAGAGAAGAGGAACAGAGAGAGAGAAAGAGAGGAACAGAAATGAGGAACAGAGATTACAAGGACAGATGAGAGAGAAGATGAAAGAGGCAAGGCAGAGAGACGAAGAATGAAAGAGAGAAGAGGAGATGAGAGAAGAGATGGATTAGGAGGAGAGTGGACAGTGCATGTGAGAAGAGAGTTTAGTTACCAGGTATAATGCAGTGATTTACCAAGTTAGTTACATTTAACTGCTGACAAATCGTTCTAATAAAGCACCGCTACCATTTAGTGCATTACTTTTGAGCCGTACCATTTAGTGCATTACTTTTGAGTGCTACCATTTAGTGCATTACTTTTGAGCCCTACCCATAGGACTCTGGTTAGAAGTAGTGCACTGTGTAGGGAATAGGGTGCCATTTCGGATGCAACCAAGGACATTTTTAGTTCTTTAGAATTTGGGTCTGCTTCCTTCCTTCCACGAATTTGGTGTTTATCAACCACAGACTTCAGAGTTAGACAAATAACATTTGGGTTCCTGGAAATGGTTGAGTCACGTGGCTGTGTGTGTGTGTGTGTGTGTGTGTGTGTGTGTGTATGTGTGTGTGGGTGGAGTGGAGTGGTGCTGAAGCAGACTGATGAAGAATAACATCCCTGTCTCTTTATCGGAGCACACCAACAGTCCTCTGATATTAGACACTAGGCCAGCAACAGAGGTGTACGAGACCTACAACATTGGGGCATAGACTCAGACATACTGTTTGCATATAGAAGTGTTTCCCTAAATGGATATGCCGCTCAAAGGGATGATTTTTCAACTAACCTAGGCTGTAGTACATTTCTCAAGACAGCTTTTGGCTTAAGAACAGACATATCTAGACACACAGACAAAGACAAACACTTACAGAGTTAAAGTCCAGAGAGATGTTCTGCAGAGGGGACACTGGCTGCAGCTGTTGTTGCTGCTGCTGCTGCTGCTGCTGCTGTTGTTGTTGTTGTTGTTGTTGTTGTTGTTGTTGTTGTGGATGATGATGACGTTGTTGCTGGCGTTGTTGTTGCCCCATTGAATGCTGGGACTGCTGGTGTAGCTGTTGGTAGAGAGGGTAGGGAGGGGGAGGCTCCATTGGCAAGCTGCTGGTGTCCAACGCAACCCCCTGAAAACGAGATGGAAGGAATGAGGGAGGGAGGGTTAGAGGGTGGGAGATGGAGAGAGAGGGGGTCATGCCAGATTCAAGAAAAGGAGAAAGGAGGGATGCAATTAGAGTATTCAAAAGATGCACTACTATGCGTATCGGGTTAGCGTTAAACCACGGAGGACTTTCCCCAAAAATACACTACATATGAAGCTGCCAGGTTGCCCTCCCAGCAAGGGGTTTCTAACCTCAAGGATCTTTCCTGGTTACAGGAAGAAAGGGCCCACAGGCCAGGGAGTGTTTGGACACTATGCTGGCTAGTCAATCATGCTTGGGCGACTGAAAGCATCATCATAAAGGTAATCTGCAGTCTATAAAAATTTACTAATAAACAAACACACTTCTTAAATGTAAATACATTTAAACTTAAATCTATTTTCAATAAATAAATGAATAAATAAACCTGATTCCCAAAGCTGTTAGTTTGCTAATTCATGTATCTTGTCGCACGCTGTTATGCACACAGTTCGAGATGAATATCATCTACTTGTTGGCCAGCGAGAAATCCGTTTAGCACTTAACTCTCAAACTCTGACAGCTGGTTGCTGTCAGCGAGCAGCTACAATATGAAAGACCGCAGAATGACAAGTATAGCGGTAGGAAAGGCGTTTTATAAGTTAGATTTGGCCCTGTGTTGTAGGTTATTGTCCTGCTGAAAGGTGAATTCCTCTCCCAGTGTCTGGTGTAAAGCAGACTGAAGCAGGTT